TTTAATCAGGCCTTGGTGAGGAAAATAGATGGAGGAGTAAAATGCAAAAACAAAAGCCCAAAACAATAGTTTTAAGCTTGTGGGGGGCTGAGAGGGTACTACTGAAATGAAGAAATCCAGCAAGCTACTAGGATGAACACGCAGGGTCCCCGATGCTGGCCTGCAAAGCGTCTAACGATGATGCCCACACAGACCACGGCAGGAGACCGCTGGAAAGGCTGAGCCAGACAGATGCCTCCTCTCAAGGGAAACACACGTGACGGTGACTCTGCAACACGACAAGGTTCTCCCCAAAGAACAGCAGACTGAACAAGGGAAACTCTCCCAAGCACTTACTTCCCAGAATACCACGGTTCTTACTCACGACGCCAGGACACAATGGAGAAGTGTTCTGGCACGGTGGGCTAAGCCGCCTCCGCCCGGGACCCCCTGCTCCCTGTCAGGGTGCCTGGCACCCAGCGCTGCGTCCACTCTGATGCACTCTCAAGGGCAGCAGCCTACAGCTAACGCAGGCCCTGGGAGGCAGCGGTGAGGGCTCAAGTGGCAGCTTCCTGACCGTCACATCAGACGCAGCTGGAGCTCCTGTCTGGCCCAGCCCCAGCTACTGCGGGCATTTGGGAAGAGGACCAGAAGGAAGTCCTCTCTCTCTCTAAAAGATAAAAATAATAATAATCAAAAAATATTGTAAAAAATGAGGTCAGATTTAGCCTTAAACAGCAAAACAGCAGATTCCCAACCAAATAACATCTAAATGCACTTGCTTACTCACAGAAGTTGAGACTAGCAGGAGTGATCATCAGCCTTAACAGCCTTTTGTGCTGGGGCTGACGCTGCGGTGCGGCACGCAGGGCTGCTGCCCGTGCTAGCAGCATCCCATGTGGGCATGGTTCCCCTCCTGGCTGCCCCGCTTCTGATCCAGCTCCCTGCTAATGTGCCTGGGAAGGCAGTAAAGATGGCCCAAGTGCTTGGGCCCTGCACCCAGGTGGGAGACCCAGAAGAGGCTCCGGGCTTTGATCTGGCCCAGCTCCAGCCCTGCGGCCCTTTGGGGAGTGAACTACACAAAGGAAGATATTTCTTTCTCTGCCTCGCCCTGTTTATAACTCTGCATTTCTTTAAAAAAAAATTTTTATTTACTTGAGAGGCAGAGTTACAGAAATAGAGGGGGGAAATAGGTTTTCCATCTATTGGTTCACATCCCAAATGGCCACAAAGGCCAGGGCTGGACTGATCTGAAGCCAGGAGCTTCTTCCAGGTCTCCCACGTGGGTGCAAGGGCCCAAGCACTTGAACCATCTTCCACCTCTTTCCCAGGCCACAGCAGAGAGCTGGATAAGGAGTGGAGTGCCAGGGACTCAGGTGGCGCCCATGTGGGATGTTGGCATCACAGGCAGAGGCGTAAACTACTATACCACAGTGCCGGCCCCAAATAAATAAATCTTAAAAAAAAAAAAAAAAAAAAAGAAAAAATTTGTGCCATTACTACACAAAGGGCTTTTCAATCCTATTAGTTATTGTTTCTATTTTATAGTTGAGGATAATAAGGATTTGCCCCGGCCGGCGCTGCAGCTCACTAGGCTAATCCTCCGCCTTGCGGCGCCGGCACACCGGGTTCTAGTCCCAGTCGGGGCGCCGGATTCTGTCCCGGTTGCCCCTCTTCCAGGCCAGCTCTCTGCTGTGGCCCGGGAGTGCAGTGGAGGATGGCCCAAGTGCTTGGGCCCTGCACCCCATGGGAGACCAGGAGAGCACCTGGCTCCTGGCTTTGGATCAGTGCGGTGCGCCGGCTGCAGCGCACCAGCCGCGGCGGCCATTGGAGGGTGAACCAATGGCAAAGGAAGACCTTTCTCTCTGTCTCTCTCTCTCACTGTCCACTCTGCCTGTCAAAAAAAAAGGATTTGCCCCAAGTCACTCTGAAATAAACACTGAAATCATTCAAAAGCAAAACAAACAAAACCCCTCACTTTAGGGGGAAAATAGGCTCCCTAGGCTCTCACATAAATTTTAATACAATCACAATAGCCCTGCTGACGGAAATTCACAAAGGGAAGCCATAGCTATTGCCTAACATCCAAGAACACTTTCCCCTTACATCACACAGCTATACAACTAGAAATGCACCCTCGATCACACAGATACATCACACAGCTATACAACTAAAAATGCACACTCGATCACACACAGATACATCACACAGCTATACAACTAAAAATGCACCCTCGATCACACACAGATACATCACACAGCTATACAACTAAAAATGCACACTCGATCACACACAGATACATCACACAGCTATACAACTAAAAATGCACACTCGATCACACACAGATACATCACACAGCTATACAACTAAAAATGCACACTCGATCACACACAGATACATCACACAGCTATACAACTAAAAATGCACACTCGATCACACACAGAATCAAGGAACTCTAGGCCTTACCAGCAACAGAAGTCCTAGGCAGGCAGCCTCCACCCAAGGGTTTTGTAAATCTAAGTCTCCAGGGTCCCATGGCTCCAACTGTCCTCACACCTTCTCTTGAACCCCAAATGTAGAGAGATCAAATATAACGAGATGAGAAGCTAACCTATCTCTGAGAGCCTGTTCACCATTTTATCTGCAATGGTTTGCACACTCTCAACTTTTTAAAATCTACAAAATTTTTAACACAAAACACCATCAAAAGTAACTGCACAAATACCCACAGTTGGGAGACACTACTCAGATAAGTAACAATTTCCATGTCTTCAGAGACATCTTCCAACAACAAAGATTATGTATTAGTAATACAAGGCTTCTAAAGCATTCATCAAAAGCAACAGAACAAGAATGTAGACAGACCACTGTGTGCAGTTCAAAGACATCCAGGTAACTCCATTCTACCATCTTCGAAAGCCTATCACTTAAAAACTCAGATAAAGACTCTGGCGCCTGACTGGTTCCGTCGCTGTGTCGCTGTCTGGCTATGCGCTGTCTGGCTATGCACTGTCTGGCTATGCGCTGTCTGGCTATGCCCTGTCTGGCTATGCCCTGTCTGGCTATGCCCTGTCTGGCTATGTGCCTCTACAGACACTCAGATCACTGCAGGCCCACAGGAAGCCTACTCATTCCAAGTTGCTGCTAAAACAAAGCCAAGACAGAAATTGATAAATTAGCATAAATTAGCATCCAAAGTAAAGCCCAAAGAACTACCTCTGCCCTTTACAACAAGGGTACAAAGAACTGCATGATTCCAACTGCCAAACTGTACTTAGTTGGTTCAGTCGAGGTACATAATCAAGCCTGGTTTGATGTAAAAGCCAAAACTTCCAGAATTCAGAGTACAACAGCAAGGAAGACATCAAAACCTTTTATATGGCATTTTGGTCATCAATGATTAGTGTCAGATTAAAGTAGAGAGATTACTGGGGAGAGGGAGCAATGGAGAAATGACAGTCAAAGGGTTAACACCTCATTAGGACAAATCCTACAGCAATACACTGAGACATTCAGTACAGCACGAGTACAGTGCAAAATCACATACTGTACATTTCAAAATTGCCAAAAACTTTCAAATATACGAACCACAGAAGTAAGTATTCAGGTGATGGATATGTTAACTGGCCTGATTTAATCAGCTCATATTGTATTCATGAATAATGTCACTTTGTACCCCCCACACATAAAGTATGTCAATTCAGTCAAAAAACAAATCGTTAAAAACATGAATGTGTTCCCTGATTGGATTTTTCTTCTTTTTTTAAAAAAGAGATGGAGACATTGCTGGTGCCGCGGCTCACTTGGATAATCCTCCACCTGTGGAACCGGCACCCCAGGTTCTAGTCCTGGTTGGGGTGCCAGATTCTGTCCTGGTTGCTCCTCTTCCAGTCCAGCTCTCTGCTGTGGCCTGGGAAGGCAGTGGAGGATGGCCCAGGTCCTTGGGCCCTGCACCCGCATGGGAGCACCTGGCTCCTGGCTTTGGATCGGTGCAGCGCGCCAGCCGTAGCGGCCATTTGGGGGGTGAACCAACGGAAAAGGAAGATCTTTCTCTCTCTCTCTGTCCAACTCTGCCTGTCAAAAATAAAATTAAAAAGAGAGAGAGAGAAAGAGAGAAAGAGAGAGAGAGAGAGAGAGAGAGAGAGAGAGAGAGAGAGAGAGAGATGGAGACAGAGTTCCCAACTGTTTGTTCAACTCCTCAGATGCCCGCGATAGCAGGATCGGAGCCAGGCTGAAGCAGGGAGCCAGGAACTCCTTCAGGTCTCCCACGGGACTGGCAGAGACCCAAGAGCTTCAGCCACCATCTGCTGCTCCCCAGGGTGCTCATTAGCAGGAAGTTGGAATTGGAGAGGAGCCAGGATTCGAACCCAGGCACTCGGATGCATGATGCAGGCATTCCCAACAGGTGATTTAATCATTGGGCCGTTCGCCTGTCTCAAGGATGGGATTTTTAACTGGCAAAATCAGATACCTAAGACATGGAGAGAAGGAGAGAGAGAGACAAACAGACAAACACGAGAATAAACCAGATACAATCTTATCACTGTCCTTAAAAAATGGATGAAACATGAAAGAAAAGGCCCAGGCAGTAACTAGCAGCAACACTGTCACAAGCTCAAGTTAAGGTTTCCTTCCTAGTTCTGAGCATGAACCTTCTAGTTCCTATTTAGCAATGCCAGTCAGGCTCAAATGTCTTGGCCTGCACCTTTCTAAAGTTCTCAAATACTTAAACAACAAAAGCACTCTAGACCGGAGTGGTTCAATCCAGTAGCTTACAAACCAGACATAGTTACTGAATACCTGACTTGTGGTTAGTAAGTCTAAAGAAGAAACTACGTTTTATATTGCTTCATTTTAAGCATTTAAATATAAACAGGCTGACAGCTTGAAGGACACCATTATACAAAGTTATATTAGTGCTGCTCTTGGTTTTTTTTAAAATATGTATTTGTTTACTTGAAAGGCACAGTGGTAAGAGAGGGAGAGACAGAGAGAAATCTTCCGTCTACTGGGTCACTCACCGAATGGTCTCAACAACCAGGGCCAAGCCGGCGTGAAGCCACGAGTGAGGAACTCCACGCTGCCAGGACTCAAACCAGCACGCCGATATGGGCTGCAGCATCGCAAGCAGCTGCTCGACACCCGGTGCCACAATGCTGGATCCTGACACGTGAAAGCTAAACCACACACAACACACGTCTGGGGCCGACAATCCTGGAGGAATGAGATCACACTACTAGTTCTCACTTGACCAAAAATGCAGGAAAAACTCAACTTATAAATGAACTCCGTAATTCTAAATAAACTGGAGTAGCATAAATTAATATTCTTCGTTAGAAAAGCAGCAATGTAGTTAAAGCCAAACTCTCTTTAAAAATTATGGCAGCTCCCTTGACCTGCGGGGTCAAGGGTTTCCCATTACCCCTGTGGACCACCCAACTTAACGGGGAAGGCAGGCGGGTCCTGTCAGTCAGTATTCCGGCAGGACACCGCAACTGTCTGTCTGCTCATCTCTAAAGTGAAAGGTTGAGACTAAATAATTATGGAGAACTGTCAAGTCCTAAATTCTTCATTCCTTTGGATCTATGAAGTATAAAGCAAAATGTAAGTAAAAGCAGGATATTCAAAGAAATGAAGAAAAAGAACCAATAAAGACCACAAACTCTTAGTAAGTTAAGTAAACTTAAACAAGATCTTCAAACAGTCCCAACGCAGAGACAAGCTGTGCTCTGCTGAGAGACTGACTTCTGATGTTTGGATGAGCCTGTTTCACATTTTTGCTTTAGTCCACACATAAACTGTGCTATCTCCAAAGAAGGCCACGCTGCAAAAAGGCCGAGCGAGCGCGCCAGGTCCATGTGCACGGCCTGAGAGCAGACAGCCCACAGAGGTGGAGCGGCCCCTTTCTGCCAGAGCTGACTAATGGAGTCCTCCTCCCACATCACACAGCTGAGAGTGCAGTATAATCCCAGCTGCTACACCAACGCTTTCAGCTCACATCAGATGCCCGCCTACTTATTGATGATTCAAACCAAATAGTAAAATGATGCTCTTTTGATAGGACCTGTGGTTATTTTCGGGTGAATTAGTAAACAGGAGTGTGAATTCACCCATGAGGTTTTCTTGTGTATACGCAGTACACACACAGGACAGGGCAGAGGGGCAGTGCTGTGCGTAGCGAGCTTCTTTGCCATGCCGGCATCCCATATTAGAGCGCAGGGTCCAGTCCTGGCTGCCCCACTTCCAACCCAGCTTCCTGTTCATGCACCTGGGACGGCAGAAGATGGTCCTCAACTTGCCAGGATGGAGCTCCTGGTTCCTGGCTGCAGCCTGGCCCAAACCTGGCTGTTGCAGCCATTTAAGAGTGAACTTACATATGGAAGCTGGCTTTCTTTTGGGAGCTCTACCTTACAAATAAATATAAACCTTTAAAAAAAAAAAAAAAAAAAGGGCTAGCACTGTGGCGTAGCAAGTCAAGTTGCTGCCTGAAGTGCCGGGATGCCGTGTGGGCACCGGTTCGAGTTCTGGCTGCTCCACATCTGATCCAGCTTTCTGCTGTGGCCTGGGAAAGCATTAGATGGCCCAAGCCCTTGGGCCCCTGCACCCTTGTGGGAGACCCAGAAGAAGCTCCTGGCTTCAGATCAGCCCAGCTCCAGCTGTTGCGGCCATTTGGGGAATGAACCAGCGGATGGAAGATCTCTCTCTGCTTCTGTCTCTCTGTAACTCTTTCAAATAAATAAAAAATAAATCTTTGAAAAAGAAATGACGAAGAAAAACAGAGTCCGCAGACAGTTTTAACAGCTATCTGGAGAAAAGAATATAGACTACTGACCTGATGACCTGTGTTAAAAGCTGAAAGGCTGGGGCCAGCGTTGTGGCGCAGCAGGTAAAGCCACCACCTGCGATGCTGGCATCCCACATGGGCACTGGTTCACATCCTGGCTGCTCCACTACTGATCCAGCTCAGCTCGGAGAAAAGCAGCAAAGGATGGCCCACATGCTTGGGCCCCTGCCACCCCCATGGGAGACCAGGAGGAAGCTCCTAGCTCCACCTTAGCTGTTGAAGCCAGCTGAAGAGTGAACCAATGGAGGGAGGACCTGTTTCTGTCTCTTCCTCTCTAGCTCTTTCAAAGAATTAAATATATCCCCTCGCCAAAAAAAGTTGAAAAGTCAAGGCAGAATGACAAGATTAACATAGCTGTCTTTCAAAGGCATATTTTTTTAAAAGATTTATTTGAGAGGTAGAGTTACAGACAGTGAGAGAGAGTGAGAAAGAGAGAGAGGTCTTCCATCTGCTGGTTCACTCCCCAAATGGCTGAAACAGCCAGAGCTGTGCTGATCCAAAGCCAGGAGTCTCTTTCGGGTCTCCCATGCAGATGCAGGGGCCCAAGGACTTGGCCATCTTCTACTGCTTTCCCAGGGCATAGCAGAGAGCTGTATCGGAAGTGGAGTGGCCAGGACATGAACTGGTGCCTGTGTGGGATGCCAGCACTGCAGGTGGCAGCTTTACCTGCTGTGCCCACCAAAGGCACATTTTTATACCAGACCCTGTGCTATGTTTCTCAGTCTTTAAAAAGAGGGAGAAATAACTCTCATAAGAAAATGACTTATAGTAGGATACAGAAATCAAAAATGACACTTTCTTGGAGAGCATGTTTTACTTGACATAGACTTTAACTGTTGATTTAATCAATCCACTGCAGCAGTCATTTAGTTATTTGTTTTTGCTATAACAACAACAACAACAACAACACAAAAGCCAGAGTTCTAGAAGTGCAAATGCTGGATCAAAGTGCACCTCTAATTGGGTGCAGAGTTGCCACGTGGCTCTGCAAGGTCACCCTGTGAATGCTGCCCCCTCTGAGTGAGGCTGAGCACTGCTCACGTCTAAGGGTCGATTAGACTTCACTTCTCTGCCATGTGTCTGCTTATATCCTTTGACTTCCCATATACTACTTTAAAAAAAGATTTTATTTGAAAGGCACAGTTACAGAGGAGGGAGAGACGGAGAGAGGTCTTCCATCTGCTGGTTCACTCCCCAGATGGCCACACCAGCCAGGGCTGGGCCAGGCCGAGGCCAAGAGCTTCATCCGGGTCTCCCACACGGGAGGGGCCCAAGGACATGGGCCACCTCCACTGCTTTCCCAGGCGCATCACAGGGAGCTGGATAGAAGTGGGGCAGCTGGGAGTTGAACTGGCGCCCTTAGGGATGCTGGTGCTGCAGGCACATTAGCACACAGCACTAGCCCTGTCCATTTTCTCATGGTCTGGTTTTCTCAAACATGTGTGAAGGTTATTTAGAAATAGGAAAATGTCCCTTCTGTGATAGCATTTCCCTTTCTCTATCTATACCACACAAAGGCACAGCGCTTTCACACCACCAATGACCTCCAGAGGGCGCTAAAGCCAAGTGAAATCCTCTGTCCTCACCTAAGCCTCTCCGCGGCACTCAAGGTTGTCCAGCAAGACTCGAGGACATTCTCCCTGCTTGGCTTCTTTGATATCACACTGCCCCTGCTTTCTCACTGGCCATTCCCTAGTCCTTAGCTGGAGGGATCTTCCTCTCCTTCTTCCTCTATGCAACTGATATGGCACAGGTTCCCCTGAGTTCACGCTACGGACACTCCCTATTACACTCCCAAGTTCACCCATTTGCTAAGAGTAAATTCATGTTGGTTTTAGTCAGTTTCCCTGGCAACTGAAATAAAGCCTGAAGAGACTGAAAACAAGCTGTCTTGAATAAGGAAGCCAGTCCTGTGGGTCTAGGGGCCAACACGGAGGCACAGCAGGTGAAGCTGCCGACTGTGGCACCAGCACCCAGACGGATGCCGGTGTGTGTCCTGCTGCTCCACTTCTACCCAGCTCCCTGCTAACGGCCTGGGAAAAGCAGAGGAGGCTGCCCAAGTCCTTGGGCCCTGCCACCCATGTGGGAGACCTGGAAGAAGTTCTTGGCTCCTGGCTTTGGCCTGGCCCAGCCCCAGTGAACCAGCAGCTGGAAAATCTCTGTCTCTCTCCCTCTCTCTGTAATTCTGTAAATAAATCTTGAAAAAGCTAAAACATCTTTAAAAAAATTATTTATTAATTTATTTGAAAGGCAGAGTTAGAGAGAGTCTTGGGGGGGGGGGGGGTTCCCTCCATCCATTGGTTCACTCCCCAAATGGCCGGAACGGCTAGAGCTGGGCCGATCTGAAGCCAGGAGCTTCTTCTGGGTCTCCCACATGGGTGTAGGGGCCCAAGGGCTTGGGCCATTTCTGCTTTCCCAGGCCATAGCAGAGAGCTGGACTGGAAGAGGAACAGCCAGGACTCACATCGGTGCCCTTATGAGATGCCAGCAGCCTTACCTGCTACGCCACACCTCTTTAACACAGCTGAGAAACAAATTTTTACAGACTATGTCTGTACTCCAAAGGTATCCAACTACCAGCAGATGTTTCTCTTCCAAGGGTCACCAGCACATACATTTAGTAACTGCAACAGCAGCTCCGCCCCCATCCCACACTGCCACCGACCGAACCTCTCCCTCACCAGGCCTTCCCAGTTCTGAGCTGTGAAAGACAGAGACCAGAGAGTGGCCCTGGCTCCTCCTGGCCCTCCTAGTCAAGCACACAAGTCTGCCATCCCCATCTCCTTCTCTTCCTTTTCTACACCTCTTGCCCTGCCTGGAAGATGGACACTGCTTCCTAATTCGCTTCCGGTTTCTCCGCCCCCTCCAGGCCACTGTCTACTTGGGTTCTTGGTCAGTGTCCTTGCCACTCAATGCGCTGTGACATGTACTGTCCACGATGGTAACCTCATAAGGCTTCTGAGGCCTAGAAATGCAGCCAAGTTTGAACTGAGTGGGTTTCAAAGACTTGGCATGAAAAACGTAAGTGAAAGTAACTCACTAATTTTTCATATTGATTATATGCTGAAATATCTGAAATACACTGGATTAAATAAAATGCACTGAAATGAATTTTGCTCATTTTTTTAATGTGGCTACTAGAAAATTTAAGATTATGCACATAGCTTACATTGTATTCATATCTCTATTGAGACACTATCCTAAGCACTTATATTTTTTTGAAGATTTATTTTATTTATTTGAAAGTCTGAGTTACACAGAGAGAGAAAGGTCTTCCATCTGCTGGTTCACTCCCAATTGGCCTAAATGGCCAGAGCTGTGCTGATCTGAAGCCAGGAGCT